AGATAGCTACAATATCGTGGGAAAGGGGGGGGGGAGTCTGTAGAAACGACCGAAGTTTTGAGAGAAAGAAGACACCTTCTGGGGAGGCAGTTAATCCATTCCGAGCTCGCTTTTCCTATACCGCACGCCCCATAGCCCCCCCCCCTTTCCTCTTTTTCTCTCGGGCCATCGTGTCCTGCGGATTTACGACACTTGCGCCGCTTAGCGGTGTCCCCGCGCTGGCTTGCTTGCCTCGCTCGTCTCCGCTTTCCGCTTGCTCCACATTGCCCGCTCCTCCTGATCGTTTTACTGCGAGCAGTAAAGCCTGATATCTGCCATAGCGCCGGCGATGATACGCCCCTCACATCAGGCAGCACCGCGCTACGCCTCGCCACGCCAGGGGTGGGCGTCGAGGCCACGCACAAGTATACGAATCGCACCTCGAGCTGAAAACGAAAGGAAATGGATCGGCTCGCATCAGCAACGGCCCGACCGAAGGAAGAGCAGTGGAACCGCGGGAACTGGTTGAACCCGAAAGATAAGTAGTGAGAGTTGTTGATTTAGCCGCGATTGAACATTTCTAGGAAAAAGAACAGAGATGGAAAAAATATTTTTGGAGCGAGGGGCGTATAAATTAAAGGCCTGGTTAGCAGTCGATGCAATGCACCGTGGGTTACTTACATACAGGGCACTTTGTTTAGTAAATTGCCTATCACACAGGCGACTCACTAGACGACAGACGGGTGCTAGACCCCTCTCACGCGCCTGTGGCAGGGTCAGCTCAGCGCCCCGTGCGATGCGGGGAGGGTATGTGCTGCACGGTATGCTCGGCTTCCCACTCCACCCTCCCGTGCTACACCGGCAGGCGCCTGGCGCCCCGGAGCAGAAGCGCCCTTGTAAGTAAACTACTGGAGTAGACTAGTTCCACAAGCGCCGCCCTGGTGCCACCCCCGCGGTCCCGCCCCCGGCCCGGCGCGCCACGACCAACGACCAAAGTTTAGCCACAGAGCTCGCACAGGCCAAAGTCTGCATGGTAACAATCTGCATGGGGGAGCCGAGGAGCCTTGCGCCGGCGGCATGGTCGGGAAGTAGCGACATACGCGGGGCACCCGACGACACCCTGCTCGCCGGGCAAAGAGCGAGCTGACTCTTGGATAATTTAAAACAGTAAATGAGACGGGGGTGACAGAAGGTGTTTCGGCTCCATCTCTAACGACATCCTGAAAGAGCGCTTTCCAAAAGATTAACACGCATGAGTCGGTACACCCCAACCCCCACCTGAGTGATCGCTGCGAACTCTGGTGGTGGGTCGCGCAGGGTCGGTGAGCTCTGCCCTCTGCCCCTCCTTGCCCTGCCAAGTGCGTCGCTTTGCAAAGCTTTTGTGCTTTGGTTGGTTAGTTTAGTTACTGTTCATGATAACAGTTTGGAAGGATACTGTTTTTATCGGTTTTTACTCAACCTCAGGATATAATTTAGCTCGCGAGACTGTTTCAGGTACGTAGTCCGATGCATGCAAAGTGACTGACAGGCGCAAGATTTCTCTCGTCGAAGATTGGAGACTTAAGGTGAGGTTATGGTTTCACTGCAGACCCGCGCCTGTTTTTGTTCCAGTTGAGGCCGAGGCAGGGTTATCTGTTGTTTCGTAAATTTAGACCTGCTGCCAATCCACTCCGCGTTCGAGGGAAATCTGAAGACGCAATGCCTTCTCAACCAAAACGTGCTCGAAGAGACAAGGCGATAGATTGTCCACATCTCAATAATGAACCGGAGAAACTGGTATGTATAAAAGTTAGCTTTGCCCACACGGTTATATTTTGGGTCGCGAGTGTATTTCGGCTAACGGAGGAAGAAAAATGGCGGGTAGAATGCGGTTGAACATAAACGTTCCCGATTCGTCGAGTGCTTCCCTGCCTCGGCGTCACCATTGTGGAGAGTAAAGCCCTCGGCCAATCTGGAACCTGTATGTTCTACCCGCTATTCTTCTTCCTCCGTCATAGGAAATACACTCATCTCACCGAGATTCACACGGCGCTGTTGGCAGACGCTGCTGTCGCTGCCGGATCTGCCCCTGTTGCGGGTGCTCTCCTTCCTACCGATGACGGACCTGGCCGCCGCGGGGACGGCGTGCTGCCGACTGGGCGCGCTGGCCAGAGCGCACTGGACTCTGTGGCGGGGAAAGGAGCTTGCCCCCCGCGTACCCGGCGTACCCGCCCGGGGTCTCTGGGACCTGCTGCGAGTCGCGCCGCGTGTGGACAAGTTGTCTTGTGATGATGTGAATTGTGATGCGTATGCACGGTGCTTTGAAAGCTATGAGAGGTACCGTGGACGAGCCGCATGGTAACCGTTCTGCATGTATACCAGGTGGCTGATTTACGCCGCACACTTTTGTACTGTGCAACCCGCCCGCACGGCTCTACCCGGGACTGATTACCAGGCGCAGGGGACCGGCTTCAAGCGCCCATGCGTCGCTCCATCACTGATGTTCGAGCTTATGTTGCAGCCAATGCCCAGAGGCGTACAAAGGGGTTGTTCGCTGTTTCGTGGGGTTCCCCCGCGAGTCCGCAGGGGTATCGCGCGGGTCCGCCGGGGTGACTCGCGGGTGCGCGGGGGTAGAACGCGGTCCACGGATCCTGCCACGGGGTAACTTGCGTCTGCAGGTCCTGCCACGGGAGTAGCTCGCGGTCCGCGAGTCACCTCCGCGGCGCGGACCCGCGAGTTACCCCCGCGGACTTGCGGGAACCCGCGCGAATCAGCGAACAACCCCTTTGTAACGCCTCTGGGCGTTGGCTGCAACATCAGTGGTGGCAGTGGTGGAGCGACGCGTTGGCGATTGGAGCCGGTCCCCTGCGCCTGGAGGGTATGCAAGCCCGGATGGAGCCGTGAGGACGGGTTGCATACTACAAAAGTGCGCGGCGTGAATCAGCCACCTGTACATTGCACCTAATCGCTTTTGCTCCTCTACCTGCAGTGAACGTTCGGCGGCGATCGTCTCCACCTTGGAGGTGCGCACCAGCGAGAATGTATTGTTAGCCTGTCTTATACGGGAGTTCACCCCGCGGGTGAAACAACTATCTTACTCCGGGCCTGATCTAAACATGCTCTACTTCAACCTGCAGTACGCCACGCGCATAGAGTTGTTGTGCATAGATTGTGAGGGTGATAGCCCGGAGCTAAGAGGAAGGCCTTGTTGGCCGCAGGTGAGAACGTGGGCGCTGTAAGACCAAGGGGAAAGGGGGTAGGGAGGGGACAAACCTCTAACCTACTGTACCCGTGATACACGTCCCTATTTGCAGGATGTGGTGTTGCCGAGACTGCACACCGTTATTTTTGAACTGAACCATGACGACATCCAGTCCACACTCGATGCTTTCGGCTCGCTGCTGCAGGCACACAGGTGGTCCCCCTTCACTTTCACTTTTCGCATGCATGCACTTACCAATTTTGCCCGTTTTTGAACCCTCAACTTGCTTGCAGAGGACAGCTGCGGTCTGTGTGGCTGGGCGGTTCAGAAATGCTCCCGCTGTTGGACGTGTTGGACGCACGTCCCGGCAACGGCAACCTCCAGCGTTTGAAGTTGGAAACAGGCGAAGGCGCGGCTGAGCGCGTGCGGCGGTTCCAACCGCACCTGAAGGAGCTCATTGTTCACTGCGACGAACGCATTGCAGAGGTACGGCAAGAACCTTGTGAGATGTGATTTTTTTGTAGTGATGCGATTTCGATTCGATATCGCGTCGATTTTGATTTCTTACACGGCAGTGGCCAACTCCCAAACCTCGAGCCCAACCACCCATTTCTTGTCCTCAGATGGCCAGATTGTTTAAGTCCTGGTCGGGCCCACTCGAACGCCTTGAACTGCAGGGTGCCACCCTAAGAATGCTGCGTGTCCTCGGGGAGGGCAGACTTGCCGGCCTCCGGCACCTCACTCTGGGGGACATCTCCTCCAAGGCTGACCTGCAGAGGACGCTCGCAGGCCTGCCCCGGTTGCACTCGCTCACCCTTCACCGTTGCCATGGTAGAAAGTCACTCGAAATGCTCTGTAACATGGCTCCCACCACCATCCCCGCTCTTGAGCTACTTATTTTTAAGAACTTCCAAGAAGAACGCTGTTCTAAAATTAAAGAAGGTGAGACACTCCACTGCCTGATTCTCGTGCAGTTGCACGTTGGTCACATCTGATGTGTACCACGTGGGGCGCAGAGTTTTGACATTTAAGATGTGTGCCCGCAGTCTGTCCGAGAGTCGCGGAGCTGGTCCCAGCGGTCAAGAGCCTGGTGGGGCGAGCGCCCCGGTCGCTGCACTGTGTCTTGCTACCGTATTGCGCCGGTGTCGACAACTACTGGCCCGAGCAGCATGAACGCTATTGCACTATTCTCTACAGACACTCCACCGTGGCCGAGGCCGAATGTCCGCTGTGCGCCGAGGCTGTTTCCACCATCCGCTCGGTAAATTACCTCCGCGAAATAAAGGTCACAACAATGACACGTATTCAAGTTTGATTGATTAGCATGAAACTGAAATAAAATTATTATTTCAAAGAGCACGGCTCTTAATCAGCGCTTGTTTCTTCATTACATGCACATGCACCTTAAACTAAGAGCTCCGCTTTTTCCTGTACCGCCCCCACCTCTTTTTCTCTCGGCCCATCGTGATCGTGTCTTGTGGCGGATTTACGACACTTGCGCCGCTTGACGGTGTCACCGCGCTGGCTTGCCCCGCTCTTCTCCGCTTTCCGCTTGACCCACACTGCCCGCTTCTCCTGATCGTTTTCCTGCGAGCACTACAGCCTGATATCTGCCATAGCGCCACCGATGATGCACCCCTGACATCAGGCAGCACCGCGCTACGCCTCGCCACGCCAGAGGTGGGCGTCGAGGCAACGCACATGCTACGCACAGGTATACGAGTCGCATCCGGGGCCAAAAACGAGAGGAAATGGATCGGCTCGCATCGGCAAGAGCCCGACCGAAAGA